CAGCTTGGGCTGGCAACCAAAAACTACAGTTAGGCTTCTTATCTTTAATAGGCGAAACTGCAGTCTACAGCAGAGGGTACGGCCAATCAAAAGAAAGCATTAGGCCTCTACGTCACAGATTATCTTTTCGATTTTACCGTTGGGGAGAATGAAAAGAAATTTGTAGTATATATATGTGATCATATCTAAACTTACGGTTTCGCTTTGAATTTACTGATTTAGTATATTTTATTACAAGTTACAGTAAGTAAGATTTATTTTAGAACAGGTACGACGTTTCAATCACTGGTGCGATCATTCTCAAGTATACAAGTTTTAACGCTAAAGAACGTTTTAGTATTAAAATCAACCTTCTAAAGACTTCTAAGTTTATCATACACTATGTGCATCACAAAAAACATCGATAGAGAAGCTGTGCACTTAACTCAATGCTTCACTACGTTTATCAGTTCCCTACCAAAGTACTTATAGTAACTATTAACATATTAAAAAAACAACAGAAAAGAGATGTTTAACAAACAAACTCAAACACTCCACAAAACAAAGGAAACCCAATCTCTTGCACTATCCCATATATATAATATATTAGTATACCTCTATCAAAAATTTCGAAAAAACTAGCAAGTAAATATAACCTTAACATAACGACTAGATTCGTTTTCACCACTGGAATGAAAGTTAAACACATGTTACGAAAATTATATAACGAACCCACCACACCAGGAAACATTTACAAAATAAAGTGTAACAGTTGCCTATCCTTTTACATAGGTGAAACAGGATGTAACTTGTAAATCAGGTTAAAGAACATCAAAAAACCACTTTCCAAAGTCCATGAGCATATGAATAAAAACAAACACCGTTTTTTTCAAAAGAATGCCACAGTACTAAAACATGAACCTGACATCAACAGAAGAAAAATCAGAGAAGCTTTATTAATAAAATCTAACAATCCCAAAATTAACAAATACCCAGGCACATCTCTGTATGTCTTAGATCGTTATTTACCCAGACACTCCTAATCTTATGCAAATATTTTGCATAAAATATTCCATAGTTTTATTTATTTATTCTTTTTTTTCTTCTGTTTAGCCATAAATAAATAATCTGTCAATTCACGCAGATTGATATGTACATGAATAAGTAACCACTATCAATTCTAAAATTTAAATACATTGTTAGATTTCTGAATGTCTTGTGTACTTAGAATGATCGCACCGGTGATCGAAGCGTACCTGTTCTAAAAGTAAAAACTGTAGTTTGTAATAAGATATTTCTAAACTTAGTTGAGGGAGTTGTTCGAAACAGCTTATGTACGACGTCACTAAGTGGAAAATTATCAAACTTTATAAGGAAACATAATCAGTACATTTACCAAGAAACATTTTAAGGGAATAATGCCATTTATTAACTGGCATGTATCATGCTCATAACACGTCCGAAATATATTCACGCTGATAAAACCTGTATGTAAATAAATACGTTTCACTAGTTAAACACGCATTATCAAGTAATATAAAATACTTTATGTTGCATGTATTTGTTTAGACCATATAACATTGTAATGGTCGCAGAAATGTTTCTTCAGAAATAAATAAATTTAAAAACATTTTTAATCATACTTAAATAAGCATCTCTCTGTATAAATAAATAGTGTGCATAGTTTTCATAACTTTTCGGGATTCAAGTTCAAAACACTAATTGTATGTATACTCGCTATTAATTTCTTTCTGGTGGATTTTAGCGTCTCGTTAGCAAAGATTAAAACCAACTTTACACTCATTAATGGGTTATTTATGCATAATTTGTCGTGCTTTACATACAGTTTTTTCCCTCGTAATGAACTTCCAGTTTTGAAATACCGATTCTCACAGGGCTTTAACTGCAGCGTCGAGAAACTATTCATATCGTAACTAAGCAACAGAAAGGCGGAAAGTATGCACAGAAATATCAACTACTCTACAATGATATATTTTAACAACAACCTCTTGATGTAACAGGGTCTTGATATTCAATATATTGATTCTGTACCTAATATTTTCTCTGTTTATCGAGTTTTGTATTAAACAGTGCGTGGAGGACATTATAGTTAAATAACAAAATAAATTATGTGTATATTATTTTAGATCAAGTTTAAAGCATTTATAGATATATAATCGAAGTTTTCTAAGTTGGGTCAAACTCCAGTTCAGGTTTCAGACACTGTTTAACAAATGATAAATTATCACAACAAATTATGTGTTAAATGTTACAACAAATTAAAAGTTAAATGTTACAACAAATTACGTGTTAAATGTTACAACAAATTACATGTTAAATATTACAAAAAATTACGTGTTAAATATTACAAAAAATTACTGTGTTAAATGTTACAAAAAATTACGTGTTAAATGTTACACCAAATTACACGTTAAATGTTACAACAAATTACGTGTTAAATGTTACAACAAATTACGTGTTACATGGTACAACAAATTACATGTTAAATCTAATATGACGAAATTTTGTTTTTAACTTAATAAGATGCTATAAAAATATATAAAAAAGATTAGCAGCCATTATAGGAGAAGACAGTTCTTTTGAGTTGTACTTTTTTCTAAAATTCTATTTTCAACAGACAACTGTTAATTACACAACACCGAAATCCGATGGTGTCGCTATCTCTTCACGAATTTCCTTGTTGTCAAATTTTCTTCAATTTATTTGCACGAATTCAGAAAAATAAATATTTTATATTTATCAGCTCTTCAGTAGTCCGTCTTCTGTCGATTTGTTTTTGTTTTTTTTAATTTTGCGCAAAGCTACACTAGGGCTATCTGCGCTAGCCGTCCCTAATTTAGCAGTGTAAGACTAGAGGGAAGTCAGCTAGTCATCACCACCCACCGCCAACTCTTAGGCTACTCTTTTACCAACGAATAGTGGGCTTGACCGTAACATTATAACGTCCCCACGGCTGAAAGGGCGCGCATGTTTGGTGAGACGGGGATTCGAACCTGCGACTCGCAGATTGCGAGCCGAGCGCACTAATCACCTTCTGTGAATAACAGACGCTGAATAAATTCAGTGATTTGTTTATAAGCAACAATGGAACTATTCTTTTTATATGCACACAATATCTTGAATGTTTTAATACATATGAGTTTCGTTTCTTCAACAATAATTAACCAGATGTTTTTGTTATAACAATAGTGTTGCAATTCAAATTTTCTTTATTGGGTACAGTGCCGTACCGTTGGTTGTGCACAGAGCGTCAAATCGAAGACGACGCCGAAGTTATATGTCGCGTCGCTCGGAGCGCCATCAAACATCGGTATGACACTTCTTCGATATGAAAAGTTTGGAGGTTATTAGTCTATAAATTAAGACCCCAGTCGTAATTTTACAATACTCTAAGGTGCCTATTTTTTCTCCAAGTCCCCTTTTATTTAATGTACTTAAGAGCTTCAAAAAATTTATATGTTAAACGTCAGATAACAAAACGATTTTTTCTGAACAAATGAACTTTTAAAAGCAATTCCACTGCAACAAAAATTTGCTGGATTCTCCTTTATAAGGAATTAGTTTAAAATATGTGATAAAGTGCAAAATTGTAGAATAATATGCTTCTTGTAATGAAGACTGATGATGTGCATCTGTGCTTAAAAAAAGACAAAACAAAAGGGACACAAAAGCTTGTGTGCAAGTAAAGATCCCGGAGAGAAAATAGATGTTCAAAACCTATGCTTCTGGTACTGGACGCTTACAGGACTGCTGACTGCTGACGATAGCAAAAATCTTAACATGATGCTTTATGATTGGTGCTTAGTATCATGACGTCACGCTACGATACTTGCGTCGTATCCATATGAAACGTCATGGAGCATAGGCCGTAAAACCCGAAACTCTGTAGAATGTCGAGCATACGAGTTCAAAACTCGAAATTGATTTGGTGTGGTAGCAGTGAAACGAAGAGCTAACGTAGAGTTAGAGAAAATATATTTTAAGACCACTTATTTGTCTCTCTCTTTTCACCTCTGTAATGCCATAAAGTCAACCAGTATCAAAATTCTGTAAATTATAATACTGACACATAAGACATATTAGTATTACGACAGTTTCTGTGCGTGGCGCAGTTACTCCAAGACATCGAACACGCACGTCGGAGAAGGTTGAGCTTTCCCGCGGAGGAATATAATCTTGCGTGGTTGGTACGCTGGTGGTATAAGAAACACGAAGTAAGAAGAAATAACTTTCACTGAGTGAGTGAATTTTAAGTACTGTTAGTTAAGAGTAGTTTTTTTCTAAAGGTAGGGTTTAAAATTAAAGACTGTTGTCTATGAAGTAATCTAATAATGTTAATAACAATAGTAGCGAATAAATACACTAGTTAGTACTAGGTTAATATATGGTGTTGAAAGTAGCTTTACATTCTTAGAATATTAATGCTTGGAGACGGCTTGAATGGGTAATGAAGAAAACTTTAATATAAGTTTAACAATTACCCATTCAAGCCGTCTCCAAGCATTATTAGCCTCAAAATGGGTTCCTCGTCATCGAATTCTTAGAATATGATTGTATGTTAAATAGCTAGAAAATTTAGTAAACTGCAGTCATTGAAGTAAAAATCTAACTGATTATTCAAGTTACATCTATTCGAGTAAAGCACACGATGACCTTTCAGTCACCGTTGTTTCTAAAATAACTGCCAAGTTTGTATATTCTGTTTCTAATATGTTCTAGAAACTTGGTCTCGTTGTATCTTCTGTTTCTAATATGTTCTAGAAACTTGGTCTCATTGTATATTCTGTTTCTAGTATGTTCTAGAAACTTGGTCTCATTGTATATTCTGTTTATAATATATTCTAGAAACTTGGTCTTTGTATCTTCTGTTTCTAATATGTTCTAGAAACTTGGTCTTTGTATCTTCTGTTTCTAATATGTTCTAGAAACTTGGTCTTATTGTATATTCTATTTCTAATATGTTCTAGAAACGTGGTATCGTTATATATTCTGTTTATAATATGTTCTAGAAACGTGGTATCGTTGTATATTCTGTTTCTAATATGTTCTAGAAGCGTGGTATCGTTGTATATTCTGTTTATAATATGTTCTAGAAACTTGGTATCATTGTATTGCGTGGACTACAAATGGTGCGAGAGTAATGTCAAGTAGACCGCGACGGTACAGACTGAGTTTCCATACTATAATTAAACAACAACAAAAAACGAGTTTTTATTAAGTGAAATTAATGGTTTTTTTTAAATGTCATTAAATCGACAAGTTTCTGCACTATAGGATTTACTTTCGCAAATAGACCTGTCTGAGTCTAAGGGTGCGTTATAAAATATCCTTTTAATTTCTGAAAGGATCCACGAGGAGAAACAGTTTGAGAATCACTATATGTAGAGAGCATCTACCCAAGTTTCAAATATCCACAGCGTAGAGTGTGAGGAGCTTATTGATATCCACAGCGTAGAGGTTGAGGAGCTTATTGATATTCTGATCAGCGTTTCCGATTTCGTGAAAAAGCCTGGCTCTTTTTATTTTGTTACGTACGCTTTTAGAAATTAGTTGCCTCAGTGACGGACAAGCTTGTTGCTGTCTTGGTGACGGACGAGTTTGTGGTTGCCCGGTAATGGACAAGCATGCAAATTTAAAGGACGGGATATGAAATTGATAATGTTTGTGAAAGCTTCAAAGTGAAGCGAACATTATTTGCTGCACCTGCAACAGCCTCCACCTGCTTTCCTGCTGTGTCCATTAACTCGTGTAATAGCACCACGAGACTTCGTGTGGAGATGCTTGTGATTCCATTTTCCAAACATTCACTGAACTGGATCATTCAGTAGCAGTGACAAGAAGCAGATATTTCATTATCCAGAAATTCACTGCGTGAACTGAACATTCAATAGCGAGCGATAAGAAACAAATTAATTTTTCTCAACAAATATCTCTGAATACATTATTTTTATAGATGTATGAATACGATTTAAATATTATTTTGCATCTTCACTATTTAACCTATCTGTTTAGATACATTGTGTTAAGTAGTTCGTTCATCTTTCATTCTCTTTTTCACTTTACAATTTAAATGTTGGAAAAATGTAACTCGATTCTTTGAAGGTATTTATTTGTTGAGTTTGAAATGAACAAAAGTCCTAATTAGATTGAAACGTATATCATTTTTTCCACTTGAAAATAAAATAAAAAACGTTCTTACACGAACTTTTAGTATATTTGATCACTGGGTATCGTTCAAAATGTGAGGTACTCGACTTCCACGTACGTTTGACTGTGTGCTTGGAGTCAGCGATCTACTGTTGCCTTACGCTACACGAAACCACGCTGATTTCAGGATCAAACGGTCGTCTCTGGCTAGGCTAAGCATCACAGCGCATATGCGGTTAAATTTATAGTTATTTACACATCTGTGTGCTCATTATTGGCTGTGAAGACTTGTGGTAAACTGCTTTTGAGCTGGATTTGTGGACTCACTATTTTTGTTTTATTCTATCAAAGACACATTGCCTTATTTAAAAACCTGGTTCCAGTAAGTTAAACATCTTATATTAACATATAACTGGTTTCCGTTCTTGAAAAGGTTAGTGAGCGCTGCAGGCAGTTGTCGTTTAAATCTAGCTCATTGTGGCAAAACCTAAGCCTCTTGTCTTCACGCATTATGCTTGAGCTTCTAATCCTTAACCACATTTGTTTTTGTTGTTGTTTTATTTTCTGTTTGACGCCTTAATACTAGAAACTTTATGCTTTTAACTAGGATCCAGTTATCGCAAAATAACATCACATATTCATGATGTATATCACCTTAAAATAAACATGTGCAATAAACATGTAATCAAAAGTGTAATCTATAGTATCCTATCTAAAACATTTTCTAAGTCGTACAATATGCACATTCGAGTTGTTACGTTACTTGTAAACAAGTATTTTACTCCTGTGTGCCAGTGTCTTACCAGTTGTTGTCGCTTGTCAAGACAAACTATAAATTTTGCTTTTTATATGGGTTGGGGGGTTGGGTATCCAACAGTATAAAGTTTCCCTCCAGCCCAGTAGAATTTAAAGACTAAGGATGAGGGTATTTTTGATAAAATACGACTTACAAGAAATAGTGCAATGTTGTATAACTATATTGGACTTAACGTCACGTTGTCGAAGATGTAGAAAGTACCATTTTTTTTGTGGTAAATTTGAGAGATCGGTAAGAATAATATTACATATCCTACTGTGACTTCAAGATGAAATCGCTTAATGATTCATTTGTAATGCTAGAACGTTTGTTTTGTTTGTATCAGATATTCGCGCAAAGCTACACGAAGGCTACCTGTGTTAGTGGTCCCTAATTCCAAACTGGTAGATGTAAAGGAAAGGCGACTAGTCAACAGCACCCACCGCACAACTTATGGGCTACTTTAATCGAACAGTGGGATTTGACTGTGTTGTTCGAGAACCAATTGACCCTCGGATCTACGGCTCGGCTCGCTATCTACTGGGCCACGCCCGGTCACAATGCTAGAAATACCCTTGTGTCTTAGTATATTAGATTTAACCATGTGGGTTGCTTACTCTTCATGGTTCCAATAGTTATACTGTAGGTCGTTATATTATCCAGTTGTCTTCTTTGATTCATCGCTATCACCACATAACTTGAGACCTTTTTATTATTTTGTAGCTATGATGAATCTACGTCATCAGGTTCTTAAAAGGCACATCACTTTATAAATCTATTAGAGAAACATTCTGCTTGGAAAAATGTTATCACATGAAAATAAGGCTCTGAGGTGGAAACATTGCGATCAATCTGAATACCTCAGCGGATCTTGAAACCGCATGTTCATTTTCAAACAACGGATATGTTTTTTTTCTTATCTTGAGCCCTTTAACTACACACAAACACACACACATATATAGGTTATTTTCTTATGTATTGTTATTTGTTCCTCGGTGGATCCGGGGTTCAATTCCCGCGATAGTTCAATGTATAGCTTTACACTAAAACAAACAAACTTTATGTAAATCTAACGAACATGATGTAAATATATGCTAATATTTCTTATAAACTTCTCCAGGATATTCTACTAAAAAAAGAAAAGAACTGGAATGGATAAAGTGTTTTCAGAAGAATCTACTGATAAAGGAGCAGTAAGACGAACTACGGGCACAGTGGCGACATACAAAACCTACGTAAAAAAGCGAGTTATTCTTAAAGAACGCAGGGACAAAGAAAGCAGCAGAAAATCTACGAATACCGTCGTCTTCGATCAATGGTTCCATCTCTTTCCAGAAAGCCTAAAGTTTCCAAGGTGAAGTGTACTTAATTGATGTTTTAAGTTAACTAAATAATGATAGTAGGGCCGTATGTTCTTGTTTCATCCAATTAAGAGTTGAAATTTTCTCGCAAGTTCATCGCCGCCTTTCGTCTGCCAAGTATTAACGAAAGCTCTCGGAGAGAAACCAACAATAAAATAAGACACACAAGTTTTATTTTTCTTTGTTTCGAGTGAGACTTCTATTGTTACGAAAGTATGGAATCTTAACAATGTTTTTGTTTTTTCATGTACAGATGACTTAAACTATCAACTGTTATTAACACATATCTAAACGTGTCTGTATTTCTATATCTTTGGCTCTTCACTCGTGGGAAAGATTTCTTTGTTTCTCTGATTTCGAAATATTGTCATTTGTGTTATGACATTAGGTACCAATTTTTTTTCAGAACTCTCCGCTAGAGTAAAAATAAATAAATACATTTTAACGTTTTTTAAGCTAATACGTTCAAGTTCACTTCGTTTGTTTTTATGAGATTATTGACCCAAGCTTCTAAGAAATATCTTAAATGCTGACCCCTTTACTCCTTTGAAAAACTACCTTTATTTACTGTAGTTCTCTGTCGATTAACGTCGAACCGAAACAGTATTAGTTTGGCGATATCGACGCTCTGATTGACAGGTATTAAGTTTAGAATAAATATCTTTTGTCCTTTTTTTTTTTTAATTTGGCATGATTATCTCACTATCTTTGCATTGAAATTTTTGAATTTATTTTTTGTTTAAAAGTGTTTGATATTCTCATGTGTGCAGTATTTGAACTACCTAATATATCAGTGAATTCACAATATGTACATATATATATTTTTTCTTTGTGTGATGGATACTTTAAGACATCCTGTTTTATGCGAAAGTCTAGTTTTGCAGGACTCGCTTTTCCAGGTCAAACTGCTGTTATAGTTATAGTACATTTCTAAAATCAGTAGAACACACATGATGTTTGTTTAATAGTCAAGGTTTTCAGAACATATGTATTACTAATTTTTATTGGTGGGTATTCCAACAGATAACAGTTATAGAGGAAGCTATTCGTTACATAGACCAATTGCACAACGCCCTGTTAACGAGATTAAAGACGCGTGGACTGCCAAGGTGTATGCAAGGTGAGACAAGCTTTTACACGTAATTTTGAAACAATAAATCACAGCCGAAAGATGTTTCATTTTCTTGAATTGTTTTACCAATGCCTATGAATATTTGTAAAGTTGTTGCTTGATTTCGAAAAGGAAAACTTCAAATTTGTACTTCATTTTTTTTATCACTGTGCGCTAAAACCCGTAAATAATCACGATTCAAAGCTTTTTTAATTAGTTTACTTGAATCCTTATCATCTTCTATTTACACTGACTAGTGATCACAATACGTGTTAGTGACATGGGCTATTTAAGTTGCCATTGGTCAACGTCCCGCTTCTTTGAAATAATGTGATCGATGTTCACATCATATATCACGTAAGTAGTCATTGGTGGAGTATAACAGCTGTTAGTGACAACATTCACGTGAATAATTAATAGAAGGCATCCTCCTATCTGAACTGTATCGCTATAGTGGGAATGAGTATCATTACCTGAACATGAGTGGTTGTTCGTGACCTGAATTAGGTGACTTGTAAGTGTCATGCATTCCATCACCTGAACTGTAGTTACTGTTGGTGACATGAATCACATTACTTGTAAGTTTCTTGCTCTTCCATCATCTGAACTGTAGTTGCTATTGGTGGCATGAATCAGGTGACTTGTAGGTGCCGTGCTTTCCATCACCTGAACTGTAGTAGCTGTTGGTGACATGAATCAGGTATTTGTAGGTGCCGTGCTTTTCATCACCTAAACTGTAGTAGCTGTTGGTAACATGAATCAGGTGATTTGTAGGTGCCGTGCTTTTCATTACCTAAACTGTAGTAGCTGTTGGTGACATGAATCAGGTATTTGTAAGTGCCGTGCTTTTCATTACGATACGAGTTACGTGACGTGTTATTGGCAAACATTCCAATGCCTGATATGGTGAAATTTTGGATTGCGAATAGGTTACTTAAGATGATTAAAATATTATGTTAATGCTGAAAAGCTGGTCTGTTCCGGTTGTCCACTCAGAATGATTATGAGGAAGTCGTGTAGGTGGTATTGTAAAGAAGAGTAAACGCGTTCTGCAAGGCTGGTATCACGTTTGTTAGTAACGTTATTTAATGTATTCTATAGTCTGTTTCAAATAAAAAGGAAAGGTTTTGGCACTGTTGTTTGCAATCAGTGAAAAATCATGCAGGCAATTAATAAATATCTTTACCATTTTTACAGTTATTTCACAAATTCCTGCTAAACACAAACATTGGCTAATCATAATATTGTATTGCATAATTTGGATTGATAATACTTTAGTGAAACAAATAATTATATACATTATTTTCCTATCCACTTACGGCGTAGCATATTTAGTCATATTTGTATTTTCCTATCCACTTACGGCGTAGCATATTTAGTCATATTTGTCTATCAGATCGATTGTGTATTCAGTGTTTTGTCTCATTAAGGTACTTCTCATGAGGGTAAAACTTAATAACTTCTACAGCAGACCAATTATAAGTCAGATATATTTATCTCTTTGGCTGAGACCTATTCATGCTAATTTAGCGAGCCAATTACGGCTTGAGATTTTAAAAGACAAGCCGATGGCTATTTTTTTTTTTTTTTGTCAAATACTTAATGATTATATTTATTTATGTTTATAGTGTAGTATTTCTGTTATATTTCGCCGACCTGTTTTTTCATTCCTTAAGAACTTGTACAAGCATAAGGCAGTCATTGCGCATGTCATTTGTGAACAGTAAATGAAAACAAGCAGATGTCAAGTGAAGTGTTTCGTCTTAAAAGCTGCATTGTCTTGCGTTAGTGGGTACTAGTGGGTCTGTCCATGGTATATATATAATACTGAAGTGGAAACAATAGGTTAAATAAATACAACTGCATATAATACGGTTCACTGTTATGTTTGTATGTATCTGTCTATTAAAGCTGGTCTGTTTAACGTAATGTCCTGTTTGATTCTACAGGTTTAGCATACTTTGACTTTGTCCGTTTTAGTTATCACAAACAGATGAGTGCTTTATACTTTTTTGGCCCTGTTTCGATTAAAATTTACATTATAAAATTATCTCCTCTGAATATTTTGAGAATGCATCAATATATGTATATATAGTTTTCCAAGTTTAATTTAACTGCTTGTTAAACAGTTTACTTTTGTTTGTTTTTTCGTCCATTATCGCGGCATGGTCTGGTCGTTAGAACTTTTTATCTTGCTTTTCATTCGAAATTTTGTCCGTAATTTGGGTGAATTATATTAATGAATTTTAAGTTGGTTTGTGTTTTATAGATTGTTATTAAAGATTTCTCGTATAATAAAGTATCATCGGTGGTAATTTTGTATATCAGATATGAACATCGATGTTAACAGCTTAAGTCACAGTGAGATTAAAAATCTGGTGTGTCAGATGATGTCCAACAGTCCTTCACCTCCGTCAACGTCACAGAGACCAGTACCAGTGCTTTATACAGATAGCATCCAAGAGAGAAACCGTGTAATCCCATCTTATATGATGCGGAAACAAAGGAAGTGACGTCAACCTGGTCATCTAGTCAACTGCAATGTAGGTAAGCAACTTATAAATAATTACATTCCTGTTTAATGTATGTTTTGTATTAATCAGAAAATAACACGTTGTTTCATTCATATAAAATGGAATTTAAAACTACTTAAAACCTTATGAATACTAACGAGTCAGAGTAACACTCGTTCTGATGTATTTGTTCATACTGCCATACAAGATGTAGTAACCCCCCCCCCCCAGTGGCACAGTGGTATGTCTGCGGACTAACAACGCTAGAATCCGGGTTTCGATACTCGTGGTGGGTAGAGCACCGATAGCCCATTGTGCAGCTTTGTGCTTAATTACAAACAAACAAACAAGATGTAATTGTCTTATCTCCACTGTTTTCGTAACCTATTAAAGATGTGAGGTATTACTTCGTAACTCCATCTATGTGAACAAAATAACCATCAATGAAAAGTGTATTGATTTTATAATGTTTGTTAAGAATAAGTGCTAGAAGTTATAAGTATGATATTGTAATTATCCGTAAAATATGAAAAAACGTTTGTTTAAAGTGACTTTACATAATTTAGTCATTTATTTAATGATAGTTTCCTACTAAGCGTTTTAAATATTTCTAATTATTTTAAACGTAATATAGTTTTTCTCTCTTTAAATATGTGCGTTGTTTGTTTCCAGAGTGAGCTGCACTGTGTAAAACCTCGGCCATTCCTTTGAATGGGAGTTGTGGTGACTTTTGACCTTTTCGACCAACGAATGTGATCTCATAAATCTGTGATGGTGTAATCCTTATCACGAAATTAAGGCTGAGCTAATTCGGGTTTCATTGGTATACAG